GAATGACTCGAGTCGCCGCGTGAATGCTGTTGGAACGCATGGCCCCCCAGTCCGACCTCTCCCGCATCGTTTTGACGGGACTTTGAAAGCTGGCGCATATGCGCACCGATCAATTCCTGTTCAGGCTGATGCACGGAGTGCTGAGACGTCTGGAATGGGCTGAAAGGGTCTGGTGTCACGCTTTGAGAGGCGCCGCCGCGCAGCATCTCGGCACGAGGGTCGCCGTATGATGTGTGCAGGAGTGAGTTGGCACGAGGATTGAAAGCGATCGGCGTCGACGCGTTGCTCATGCTTTGCTGGCCCGAAAGTGGCTCGGCGCTCCTGATGCCTAGCTTCGCCTCCAAGAATGTTAGGCGGCGAGAGAGCGCGATATTTACGGCTTCCTTTTCTGCAAGCTGACCGCGGACCTGCAGACTAGAAGCAATTAGATGACAAGCTGCGATACTGTCGGAAAATTTCTCGACACTCACTTTCTCAAGCTCCACGAGAAGCGCTGCATTCACATCTTGCAGCTCCTCAAGTCTGACAGGCGTCACGCTAGGTGGCGTCAGCGATCGCAGCCCTCGTCGAGCCGTTGCCTTGTCCAGGGCGGGCTGAAGTTGGCTGTCATGCTCAAGAGATGCCTCGAGGGCGCCATTCTAAGAATGTATGCGCTTGTCAGTGTACCAGAAGTGACCGCGTCCAGCCTCACTCACCGCCAAGCTCCAGTCATGAGCGTCTCGGCTGTCCATTGCGCTGGGCTGTGTACGAGCACGATGATGTTCAAAGATGGGTGCAGCTGCTAACAGTCCATGGGAAGTACCAGGAGCCGAAGCTTGACGACCCGTCGGACCAGGCATATCGTCGCTCTGGAAAGCCTGGTTGCCGTTGTATGCCACTTCAGCTCTAGTGGCAGTCAGGCTGATACCCTTGCCGGTTTTCCAGGGACGAGCAGCTTTCTCTTTGGCGAAGGCAATTGCAAAGTCCTCCTCGTTGAGATTTTCGACACGCTCGTATGACTCCTGTGGTGTGAGGGGCCCAGTGGCGTGCCCAGATACCTCGAATGCGCTGCGTTCGGGTGACCATACAGCGTTGGAAGGATTGCTGACTCTCTTCATGGGTCTGGTGCTGTTGGCAAGAGCACCTCCGCTTGGAGAAGGAGTCAAGCTAGACGCTGGGGACCAGCTTGATTGCGGAGTGGGCTGTGCCTGTTGACCCTCCGAGTCATGTGGGAGGTCCTGAGAGGTGTCTTCGATGCTTCCAAGCAGATCAGGCCGCTCTCCAGTCAGCCACCAAGCGCTTGTGGCCGAGCGCAGCGAAGCATCACGCTCCTCGTCTGCCTCTGGCGGGGTAGTGGATGCTGGCCTTTGCATCTCGGTCTTTGCAGGTCGAGTCAAAGTGAGTGTCGAGATGCTAACAACCCGCGCCGAAGTACCTGCCGAGAAAGGCTCGGTGGAGTGAGAGGGTGGGCAAAGAAGATGCTAGAAAAGCTCGTTTGGGTGTGTGGGTTTGCGACACTGACGAATGTGAATGCTCGCAGCGCCGAATGCCGTCGCGGTGTGACATTGACCGGCCGAGAATCAGAGTGGGCTCGATGTTCTATATGGCGGAGGCAAAAGTAGCTGCGCAGCAAGGTGTGAGTAGATATGGTGATCTGCCTGCAGTAGTCAAAAATCAGGCAAGGTACGTGGGAGGCCGGCCGAGACTGTTGCGGTGTTTATGCTCGCACCTGCTTGTTGTACTCGGCAGGCGTGCGGTCGACCTTTACCGCCGCACCCGAATTAGCAAGGTGATTCACAGTTGAGCATTGGCCTAGCAGCGCTTTGAGCAAGCTAGCGCAAGAGTGCAGAAAGAGGATATGCTCTGCCTGCTTGGACGTGCAGCCTGATCATCCGTCGACGAGCTGCTCTGACCGACGCGCGGATGGGCGCAGAGGATGAGCTGTGGATGGATGGGTTCATGCTGCTGCTGCTGGCAGGAAGTCCGGCGCTGAAACAAAGTGAGAAAGAAGCCTTTCTCGTTAGGAGCACCGGCAGCGCAGCTCCATTCATTCAGATCCTGCCAAGGGCTGCTGCGCTGTATGGAAAGACTTTGGCGGTGCTGGAACAGATGATGCTTTCCCGCCGCTGCTGGCTGGCTGCTGACTATACATAAAGACGTCCCAAGTCTTGCTCTTGCGCAATTGCGCCCGACCACTTCACCGCGGCTCAAGACGCACAGGCGCTGATGGCGATGACTGATGCATGATGGTGAGTTGCGGTCTGCCCTAGCTGATGTCTTGCTATTCTGTACCTCGCCACCTGCACCTCGCCGTCCGACGCATCTTGTTCACTTCCCTTTGATGGAATGCTACCTATTTAATCCACACTCTTGGCTCGGCCAAGGCTTCCTTCGATGAGGTTGTATAGCGCCAGTCACTGATTTGGAGGCGCGAATGTTGTGGTTGCGTGTTGAGCATGAATGAGCTTGACCGAGACATAGCGTCAGTCGTAACCGTGAAACTCTCTTATCCGCCCCATTCTCAGGCTAAATTTACTGACTCGGACCCGACGCGTCTCCCGCGCTTATTCGCTCCATGCGCCTCTGCTGCTGGGTACTCGCTCGCTCGGTCCACGATTCGATTGCACGAATCACGAATCACGAATGTGAGTCAGAAGAAGAACACGCCTTGCTGCTGCTACAAACAGGCAGGCGCCGCACAGCCTACACAGCGGTGGTGCTAGGTAGGCCGCCAATTGTATCTTCGTGGGCCGCATGCATCAGACCGAATCGAGGCTTGGTGAAGGATTCGTGATTGGCAATCAAAATAGCCAATCTGCTGCCTTCCAGTCGTGAAACGTGAGTGCTTGTGCATGCTGCGTAAGCTCAGCGTTGAATATGCTCGTATGGAACCCTCCTCATCAGCCTCTCAACCCTTCCTCAGAGCCAGCGCCGGGCCAAACCCAATCAATAGCTCTTGCTTGCTAAGAAACATGTGTTCCCTCAATATCGACAATGGCCTTCTAGCAGCTTCTCGCGTTATATATGATGATAATGAATCCGCTGCGCAACGCGAGCGAGGGGCGTAAAAATGGCAGATGTCCGAAAGAAGGGCGAAAAGAAAAGGAGCGGTCAGTGCGGAGAAGGGGAAAGAAGCGCTTCTTGATACCCATGCACTCGATACGCTCATCCGTGAGCGACAACCTGTAGGCCAGCCGACTTCACATTCGTGATTGCTTGCTGAGCATCAGCACGTCGAGCGAGCGCAGAAAGATCCGTCTACCCCGCCTCTCCATACCCCAAATCAAGTGTGACCGGTCATGCTTACATCTCATGCATGTGAACCTGCCTCGATCACAAAAAAATATCCAACTTCAGGACGCTCAAGTCAACACCCCTCCGAGCCTCTCTGGCACGCTAAAAGGAAATGCAAACACGCGATCGCACTCTCGGCCCTTTTGCGGATCCATGATTGCGCGACTAGATTCTACAACACAAGATGCGAGACGGGTCAGGAGTTCGTGTGAGGCGCGTGTAAGAAGTC